AATGAAATAAAGAGAGCTTCGATGAGGATAAAGAGATTCTCACCATCTAACGCATGAAAATGGGTATAAACTACCCAAATTCATGAAATACGATGACAAGAGGGGAGATTCAATCTATCCTCAAGGAAAAAGCTATGTCTGGGCTTCTAGATCATCAATAATACATAAAGTAAGAAAGGAAGGCTTCAACAAGGATTCAATGAGGATAGAAAGGTTCTTACCCTCTAACGCATGAAAAGGGGTATGAACTACCCAGATGCATGAAATAGTGATGAGATGGGAGATTCAATCTACTCTCATGAAGGTAATCTTGTCTGGGCTTTAATATCAACAAAAAATCAATCAAAAAAAAAAAAAGAAAAAGAAAAGAAGGAGACTCTAATAAGAAGAGAAGGGTTCTCCTTTTTTCTACTCATGGAAGTGAGTATAAGCTACTCAAATCTATGTAAAATGGGTTTGGAATGAGAGAATCAGCCTCTTTTTATAGAGGAAAATGGTGCCTGGATTTCTGACCTGTAATGAATCAAGAAAAAGCAATTCAAACTTAGCCAAAGTCACTATATAGGCCTCCACTAACTACCAAAAAAAAAAAAGGGAGAAGAAGAGATAATTCGACTATATTATCAATAACAAGCCAACAACAATCTCAAGAAAACTCAAAAAGGAGAAGAAAAAAGATAGAAATTACAAGAAATTTAAGAATGGAAGTACGAATTATGTGATGGCCCCGACGTGCATATCAGTTTTGCATAATATTTCATTAAGTAAATTGCATGATTATGTGTTTGATTTTGTGTTTACCTGTTTGTTTATAGGATATTTGTTCAAATACCGACTTTGAATTAGAAATTGGAGGCCTAAACGGATTCAGAAACAAAAATTGACTAGTTCAATAGGCTAGTTGGAATATTTAGGATCATATGAAAATTTTGATTAAAATTTGATTTGGATCAAAATAATTAGAATAAATCAATTAGACTTGATTAAGTTTAATTAAGCTTAAGCTAGATTAATTAGCCTAATCTAATTCCCCTATATATATATAGGCCCTGTTTGGTGCAGCTTAAAAGCTGCTTATTTCAGCTTTCAGCTTAATTTAAGCTATTTTGATGTGTTTGGTTTAGCATATAGCTTATAGCTTATAGCTTTTTGGAAGTCAGAAATCAGCTTATTCTTTGAGTAGGGCAGGAGATGCTTAATTTATAAGTCAGAAATCAGTTTATGTTCATAGTTATAAGATATAAGCTGTTTAAGCATAAACTATAAGCACTTTCCCACAGCTCTACCAAACAGGGCCATATATGCCTTAAGCATTATTTGAACTCATTTATTCTTCATCAAATTAATGTGGCTGAGATTGTAGAGAGAGAGAGAGAGAGAGAGAGAGACCTACTTTTAGAGAGAGAATAGAGAGATTATAGAAAAACTGAAGGGATTAAGCTATAAACCCCAAAATTCAAGCTCTAGGTAGGATTATTACACATAATTTTTAAAAATAATCCATGTAGAAGTTAAGTTCATAAAGTTTGTAAAACCATTTGCCTGAAATTGAGAGGAGAATGCTAGAACCACTTGAATTCTTGTAGGATTAAGTTGAATTAGACATGTGTCACGACCCGAACCCGCCCCCATGGGTTAAGGCCATAACCGGCCAGTAATCATGAGATTACCTATGGCCTCAAATTGAACCAGACAAAACTCATCAGAGTAAAGGGGCCAAATGGAAGCAAATTTTAAACTTTGTCCATAGAGCTGTGCTTACATGGCACATCATAACAATCCATACGAAAACATGTTAATAACTCACGTCAAAAGATACAGCAACATAAAACTCTGTACAGACAGGATCATTCAAATGTAAGTCAACCCGTCAAAACTATATACCACAGACGCAAAATCTTCGCCGACATGACAAAATATAAATCCACAGCAAAGGGGCGAAGACGGGTCTTGTACATGAGACGCAAGGGCTGACTCTCCAAAAACCTTTGTTGTTCCTGACAGACTTCACTGGGGCTGGGTTTGCACCTCCCTTGGCTCACCTACAAACACATGAATGAGCGTGAGCGATAGCCCAGTGAATAATATCAAATACAGAAGTTACATAACAATATGTAGAACAACATGCTCCAAACGGCCTTGGGCCCAATTCATGCTTCTATTTAACAGATACATATAACTATACGAAATTCAAATCAAGTAACTGCAGTTCTAAACATTCTGGCCTTTGGTCCATTCAGGATTCCATTCATGGCAAAATGACCTAAGGTCCATTCATACATGTCCAAACGACCTTCAGTCCACTCATTTCTATCACAATGACCTTGGGTCCATTCATTTCTATCAAAACGACCTTCGGTCCATTCGTTTACGTCAAAACGGCCTTCGGCCCATACATTCGTGTCAAAACGGCCTTCGGCCCACTCATTTATGTCAAAACAGCCTTCGGCCCATTCGTTTACGTCAAAACGGCCTTCGGCCCATACATTCGTGTCAAAACGGCCTTCGGCCCACTCATTCATGTCAAAACGACCTTAGGTCCATTCACTTATCTTATATATAATAGGTAGTGATTGATTTTTTGTATAATATAAAGTCATTAATTATTAAAATAAAATATAAAAAACTCAGTTTATAATAATTTAAAAATATGAAATATATTAGATCAAGCTTAAAAATTTATAAAAATTGATCAATATTTATTTTAAAACCCAATAAATATGATTATGGAAAAAAAAATATGCGTATCGGTAAATTTTTTTTCAAATTGTGCAAAAAATAAAAAAATTCACGGTTCTGGTTACCGCAACCATTACGCTACGGCCTTTACATCCTGCAATCGCAATCGTGCCACCGCTACCGTTACGACGACCGCAATCGCTTTTCAGAACCTTGGTATGGCCATTCCATCACAATCTTCTCCTATACACAAATTTATACAATTTTTTAATACATATTTTTCTGTAAAAAGTTATCCCAAACAATTTTTTTTTTCTTTTAACTTTTTAATCTAAAAAGTCAAAAAGTACACTTATTTAGGACATCTCAAAACATTCCTTTAATTATTTTATAATGATGGAAACATTTAAAAGTAATTTTTTCCAAGAAAAAAAATTGACAAATAAAAATTAGAATGGTAGAGAGGACAAATCTCAGAACACAAACAATTCTTCTTATTTGGAGATTGATTAAAATAATTAAAAAAATCATTATAAATCTTCATATCACTTTTTTTTTTTTACAAGTTTTTATAAAAAATTAAATATTCATTTATGTTTTGATTTATTTCCATTAATGTTGTCATTTTGGTGTTTTTAGTTTGATAATGTGCAGGGTTGCGATGAATTTCGGCTCAGTTTAACTCATTTTTTGTTGGATATGATTCATTTGAGGTCATTTAGGTCAGGTTTGTAAAATCTCAAAAAAATTCAAAAAGTCAAAAAGTAATTACTATTAACAAATAAAAAATATTAAAAATTTCTTTTATACATTTTTATAATACAAAATTTTGAATTACACTATCAGTCGTACTGCCCCAGCAGGAAGGCATGTCATATATTTTTGGGCAAAAAAAAAAAATTACATATGTAAAATCACAAAATTTGATGGTAATGTTGGGCCCTTGGTTCCCACTAAGGGTTCCGTTTTAATAATTCGAACCGTTCAATACGTACAACTTGTTGACTACTATATGTCTATGAAAAATCACGTCGATCGGATATTGTTAACTATATGATCAAATCAGTTTTGTATAAACAAAACGAAAGGTGTGATATGTAACTGTTGAACAAAAACTAATTCGATCATATAACTATCGATATCCGATCAACGTAATTTTTTATGAACATATAATACTCGACGAGTTGTACATATTCAACGGTTCAGATTATTAAAATTGGACCCGTGGTGGCCCCTACGGACCAGCCATCGCTATCCAAATACTTTTCCGTGAAGGAGGCAATAATTTGCTGTGTAAGACATGCTACCCTAGCAGGGCAACTGTACGACCTACTCAACTTTTTTCTAGGAGGGGAAGAAAAGAGGGTCTGAGAAGCTTGATCAGAAGCAGGTTGTCCATAGGAAGTCCATTGATGCATTTGGACAGAGGACTTCACAGTATAGAGGTGTCACAAGGCATAGATGGACTGGTAGATATGAAGCCCATCTATGGGACAACAGTTGTAAGAAAGTTGGAAGATGCAGGAAAGTGAAGGTATGTGTACAAAATTCCAGCGGGCAGCGAAGGCAAGGTTGCCGGCCGGCTGCCCGCCGGTGAGAAAACAAAATACGGGCCTAAATCTTATGGCTCTGATACCATGTAGAAATTTAATGTATAAAGAGAAATAGAGAATTGTATTGTTGATTGATATAATGTTATTGATATCTATTACAATGATTCATGATTCCTATATATAGAAGAGGGTGAGTGTGTAGTAGGTAAGGAGTAGGTGAAGTGGAGGTGGTAGTGGTGTAGTGGGTTAGGTTTAGTGGAGTAGGTTTAAGTGGGTGAAGTAGGTGGAGAGTATGTGGATTTAGTGGGTTAGGTTTAGTGGAGTAGGTTTAAGTGGGTGAAGTAGGTGGAGAGTATGTGGATTTAGTGGGTTAGGTTTAGTGGAGTAGGTGAGGTGGTAGTGTTGTAGTGGGTTAGGTTTAGTGGAGTAGGTTTAAGTGGGTGAAGTAGGTGGAGAGTATGTGGATTTAGTGGGTTAGGTTTAGTGGAGTAGGTTTAAGTGGGTGAAGTAGGTGGAGAGTATGTGGATTTAGTGGGTTAGGTTTAGTGGAGTAGGTGAGGTGATAGTGGTGTAGGTGAAGGTAAATTCTAACAATATACAAACAGAATGATTAAGCTCATGGTGGACCATTCACTTTAAAACTGAACACCCATATGAGTTTTATTTACAAAAATGAATTGCCTTATCATTCTTGTGGTGCTTTTTGTATGAAATTTCTGTATGAATAGAGTTTTCTTATCCAATTATAGGTGCGACTTTTCTATTGCCAACCAACTATAGGTTCTTTGTTTGGTTTGTACAGATGGAGGATGATATTTCACCTGTGCTGGCTCCCAAGCAGAAAGATGCTCCAAAAGAAGAACCTGTCGATAACAGTCCTTTAAAACCAGCTTCTTCGGGATCTGCTCGGGGAACTCCAACTACATCTAAGTCAGCAAAAGGAAAGAGAAAAGTCAGTGGTGATGATGCAAAAGCTAATAATGGTGCACCTCCAAAAAAAGTGAAGACAGAAAATGTACAATGTTGCCTTTGATGAACCTGCTTTATTTCATATCAAGTGCCAGTTTTATATTAGAGAATGAGCTTCTGTGATATCCAAGAGCTCTCTCTATCTCTCTCTCTCTCTCTATATATATAGTTTGCGCTGACTTTGAATTCTTTTGGAGCAGGAGGTGAAACCTTCAAAAGAAGAAACTGTGCCTACCTCAAAAAGTAGTGTACCTGCAAAAGGTGCACCTTCATCAACTTCAAAAACTGCATCAACACCATCTACTGGACCCGTCACAGAAGATGAAATTCGTGCTGTTTTAATGCAAAAGACTCCTGTCACAACGCAGGATCTTGTTGCTAAATTCAAATCAAGATTAAAAGGCAAAGAGGTATGCCATTTCTTGTTCTGTCACAGTCTTCATCCATGCTTACTTTCTTCATAAAATTGTGTCTTTTACCCTTCAAGCCCTATGTTTTAAGAGAACAATAATCAGCCTGGAGAATTATGTTTTCCATTAGTTGAAGATTATAGTTGAATGCCTTGGTGCAGTTTGGCAATGTTTACAAGTTACTGTTTATTTTGTAAAACTTACTAGTGTTTGAAAATTAAAATAGATACCAAACGAGTTTTTTTTATTCGTTAAATTTTTTTTTGTAAATACGAACAGAAAATAATAAACATAGGTTATCAAACAGGACCCTAGTATCTGCCTTATGGCTTGTTGATTTTTATCAAGTTCTTCGTGGAATTTAATGTCTTCCTTCTCGAGTCCCATGTTTGACTCTGTTAACTTAGTTGGAATTTTGGGTGTTACCAGTGAAGAGGACTGAAATAGATAGTTAACTGTATGAATGATCGCTTTATAATCAACGTGGTTATTTGGGGGTTGGGGTGGAAGTAGGTAGATGTGAGATGAGAGCATTCTTTAAATTGTTGACATGTTGTTTTCTTTAACTTACTGTGTAGTGATTTTCCTTTGCATGTCTGCATGAGGGAGGTGTAAGGTCTATGTTGCTTGCAAGCCAAAGAACGATTTGCCATGTGGATTTTTTTCTAGACAATTTTGGTGGGAAGGGTTTTCTCTTGTTTCATCAAATGAAGTTCTTTGTGCAGCAGGATAAGGATGCTTTTGCGGCTATACTGAGGAGAATTTCCAAGATACAGAAAACCAACGGGCCAAACTACGTAGTTTTGAGAGAGAGATGACTTTGGGCTGCCGGCACGCAAGGTATGCTGTAGTTCCGACTCTTCTGTATCTGCTGTACATTGAGGAAACTGATTCACCTAAGGATGGTTTAGGTTTTTTTAAAAACAGAAATAAAAACAAAAAGACAAACCAAGAAAACATTGTAGTAAGATGCTTTGTGTTCCTGTTCTCTCTCCCTCCAAGGGAAACATAGGAAGAAATAGAGAGACAATAAGAACAACTCCGTTTTAAGCCCTGTAGTTTTAACTGATTGAGCTCTGGTAATCTGCTGACAATGAATTAAATACTGTTGTATTTGTGTTTCACTGATTGAGCTCTGTTAATCTGTTTGTGTGAGTGTGTGTGGTTTCCTTGCTAGAGGTGTGCGCGCACTCTACGTATGTGTGTGTGTGTGAATCAATTAGATTAATCATAGCAGTTATTAGTTTGAAGCAGTTGGATCCAAAGGGGTATTTTAGGTATAGGAAAAGCTTCAAATGGCTGTATGCTTTATATTTGTGAGTAGAGCCTAGAATTACATGTATCAATTAAACACCAAATGCAACATGAGGAATCAAAACTAGGACGTCCAAGATCATGATTCATCTCTAAACAAGCTCCTTAAACATTGGACATTCCACGTGGGTTGAAATGTGAATTTTGCTTATTAGGTGCGGAACACGTGTTGTACATGCCCGTCATAAAAAATAGCAAAGTTTTTTTAATGAAATTTTCGCAGGAATTTAGAAGTACAGTTCTTTAAATACAATTAGTTTAGGTGGCCAAATTAAATATTCGTCGGGCTTAGTATTATAATTCAACGCATCGAGTGAAGAGAATGATCAACTGGACTTGATCTAGTAAACCATGTGCATAGAAGAATTGTACCTAAATAGTACCTTTGTTTATTGGGGTTATGAGGCAGAAATTAGCATGGTTTAAGTAGTTGTACCTTTAAGTTTCTAGAAGATTTGTGTTTGATTGAGAGATTTGAAAAGAAATTTGGTAAGAGAAAGAGAAATGGTGTTTGAAATTAAGTGAAATATAAATATATTTTATTCACATTTCATTCATCTTTTCAATCTCTTCTTAAATTTCTCAATCAAATACAATGTTAGAGTTTGAGTTAAAAAAAAAAAAAACAAAAAAACTTGGTAATTGGCTATTATCTTACAGGTTGTAAAAATTAAAATGAAATTAAAATATGGGGCTGGCTAGATATTACAATCAAACAAATCAAGATGGGTAATATTATACAATTATATATTCACAAAGAAATTAAAATAAAAAAAAAATTAAAAAACCGTCACTTTACTTCATAATTGTAAAATTCACTGCTACTTCTTGTGAGGATTTTGTTATAAAAAGTTGCATTAAACAAAATCTTTGAAGGTTGTATTTTTGAAATAGGTAAAAAAAATAAAATCAAGTGATAAAAATATTTGAAAATTAGTAAAAATTATGCTTTTTACATTTTCTTGTGCCCTCTCAAAGATGGATTGATGACCATTCAAAAAAGTAAACAAAATCCACAAGTGGACTGGAAAAAAGTGTGCTCTAAAATAGGGAAAAAAAACTCAAAATTAATAAAAAAAAATATCTTGTGCTTATTTTATGTTTAGCAAGATACAAACCACCATTCAAGGTTCCTCTACTTGTTAGGCACCAAAAATAAAAACCTACTTAGCCATGGTGCAATACAAGCATACACATCACCTAACAAAAACAAGCAACTAACATTCCAATCCTACTCACCAAATCATGGGTTCGAGTCATGATATATAAAAATGTTTTCATACTTAAAATATATATATATATATATATATATATATTAGAAACATACATAACCAGTTGCCAATACTAGAGACCTACATAGCAAAACAAAGCAAAGCACCAACTGCTAGTAGACGGGAGACTGAGAGTCCATTGGCACTGATATGGGTTGATCCAGAAGGGGTTGTGGGCCCATCTGCGGTGGCTACAGCAGAGCCCTCTGATGTAATTACAATTTGATGATCTTGTTTTGGCTGATGTGGTTGTACATCCACGTGCAACTTCAAGCCGCTCTTGCAACTCTCTGGCTTTCCACTCGCGAAGTACCGAATCCCTTCCTTCTCGAGTGAGACGCTATCTAAGCCGTCCGTGTACATCTTGATGGGGTTGCTGACATCGCACGCCTCGTACTCCTCCTTGCTTTTGAGCTCCACGATGTTCTCCTGTGCTGCTGAGTAGGCGAACCCTGCCCATTCACACACACATCCCAATATTGTTGACTTTTTGTAGTTGTTTGTTGCGAAGTGCAAAGATACCCGGCCGTTTTAACATTAATCTTCGGCCGAAAAAGTAGGCCCAATTTGTTTGGTGGCTAAGAACATGTACAGAAAAATTAAAAATATTTTTTATTATAATTTCTTTTGAGATTAAAAAGTTAGTTTACTGGCAAAAATAATGCTAAAATTAGTCTTTGAGAGCATTTTTGGTTTTTTTTTTTTTTTTTTTTTTTTTTTGTGAAAATTGAATTTGTTAAATGTGCAAAGACTTATGTTATTTTATTTTTTAACAAAAGTGGACTTTTAATTGTTGGCTTTTAAACCACACCCAAAAAGGAAACCTAACTAAGGTTGGGCAATATAGGAAATAGGCAACTTATTCATGCATATTTTTCTTTTTTCTTTTTTTTAAAAAAAAATTAAAAAATTACCAAATAATCTTATCCCAAGTCACTCCTAAGCGTTTTTTGATGGTTTTGTCCTATTCAAATGGTTGTTAACTTCTTACTAATAATAATAATAATAAAAATAAAATAGAAGAATATATATATGTATACTACTTTTTACAAGTTGCTTTAGCTTGGTTTTCTCAGCAACCAAACATGTGATGAGATTTGAGACTTTTGACTACTTATCTATGGACTGAGCGAGAACTGTAGGAATTATGGAATTGATCTACAAATTGTGAGTAGTCCAAAATAAAAGGAGAAATAACAAATTAGGTTTGGAAAAGTAATTTTAGATTAATAGGAAAATTAAAAACTTCAATAATTAAAATTATAAATTTTTTCATAAACATATATTATTATAGAAAGATTTCACGTGTAATTTCCCCAAAGCAAAACAAAGAGTTAAGTAATAGGGGAAATTATGAGTCACTTGGAAGACAAACTAATTCCAAAATAATGAAAAAGTTTATAACAAAAATGTTTGAGACTCCTTTTTTTTGGAGATCCCCACAACTCTTTTTACATCTCAATCATTGATGTATATGTAAGACTCGCTCATGTATGTGTGAAGTTCATACCATCAATGGTTGAGATCTAAAAAGAGTTGTGATATCTCCGAACAAGAAGGTCTCTATCATTGTTTGTTATGGAGACATGACTCATAAGCTCACGGGTCCAATCAGCACGATCAAGCTGAATCCGTTTTAATTACTATATAAATATATCCCTGTTTATTTATGTTCTAAAAGTTAGAGTTTTATGACTTTTGTACGAGAAGTTGTTTAGAATACCAAAGACGGGACCAATGTTAATAAAACCAAAAAATATTAATACCAATGTTAATAATTACTGATATATGTGAAAGGAAAGCACTACTACAGAAAAATAAACATAAAAACAAAAATGTTCAAAGAATCCCATGAATGAATCTAAATCACTACCCATGATATATACTATTGATCTATACTAACATATAACATGAAAATAAATATAAATGTCACAGTTTTTACGTTTCAAAAACATTCTTCTTTAGCCGTCATTGTAATTGCTAAATTCAACTATTAATTTCAAGTATACTTATATGAATGCGGACACTTTGTGATTGTATATAGGGAGAGAGAGGGAAGGGGGGCATACAGATTTTGTCGCCGACGCTGAAGATGCGGCCGGAGGACCAAGAAAGGACGTCGGAAGAAGGATCCCAGCCACGATCACCGCCGACGACATGGTGGAGTTGGGCACCAACCCATTGGCCTCCTCCAATGGCAACTAACAATACAACCACCAGAACCATGAACAGCTTCCCTCTTCCTTTCATGTTTCCACACTAATCTCCTCCTCCTAACCCAAAATGCTCTCTCTCTTTTTGTGTCTTCTCTCCCAAGAAAAGTAGTTATAAAGGGTGAGATAGTAGGTAGAAGGATTGGCTAAGCAAAGGGAGAGGGAGAGCCTCTTGTTTTTTTTCCTCTCTCTCTCTCCCAATTATCCCGCCAAAAAGATAAAAGAATCCACACTTGGACTCACTTTCCACGTAGTTTCCTTGAAAACGACAAACCATTGAAACCAACCCTATACTTGGGGTGTTTCTTTCGGTTAGAATTAACTTATAACTTTTAGTTTTAAAAAAGTTATTTTAAATTGTTTGGTTAAACTTATTTCAAACAGTTTATGATTCTAACAGTTTATTTTAACTCAAAAAAACTGATTCTGAGAAGCTGTTATCCCTTACTTCTGATTATCAGCTTCTGCTATGGACATATTAATTTATAATTATACTCTTAAATTTTTTTATTTTTTATTTTTTTAAAAATAGAAAAAGACTCAAATGGACTATAGATTATTATTATTATTTTTTATGAGAAATGTAGACAAACAAAAAATAAAAATTAATTGAAAAAGTAATTTCACAGTTTATTTAACAAACACTATTCAGCAACTTCAATCTATAATCCAACAGTTACACCAAACAGATTAACAACTTCTGATTAAAATCATAATCTATAATCTGTTAAGCTATAATATATAAGTTGTTTTAACAGTTACACCAAACGGGGCCACTGATGGACAAAAGTAAAGTAGCGTGGTAGATTTTAGAGAATTAGATGTACGTGAGAGAAAGGAAAAAAAAATTAAATACCGCGGTGTTTGAGAACTTGATTTTTGGATTTTTTTTCTTTTATTGTAAGATAAATATTTTATAAAATTAAAAAAAATAAATCTAAACAAAATATCACATCAAACTTCATAATTATTTCATTTTTTTTACAAACATTACATTCAACTACAAAAAAACCCAACTAACTTTTCAAATCCAAAAAAATCTTTCTCCAATAATATCCTATAACTAAAAAAAACTTACCAAAAAATTCATTTCCCAAACACTCACACACTACAACATTTTCTTAGTTTAGTGACATTTGAAAGTGCCACAAAACTATTCTTCTAATGACATTTTTTGGTCTTGTGGCATTTTGAACAAGTGCCACTTCTATCGATGCCATGATAGATACGAGTGCCACGGTAAATACTTGCAAGTGCCATTGCACTATCATGGCTAAAAACTTTCAATGACATTTTAATGTCACAGTAGATATTATTTGTGGCACTATCAAGCGCCATTAAAAAAAAAGTTAGTGACACTTATAAGTGTCATTACACCATCAAGACTAAAACCTTTCAGTGACACTTTAATGTCATGGTAGGCACTATTTGTGACGCTATCAAGTGCCATTCATGATGATAATTCGTTGTAGAACAATTTGATCCGCTCTTGCGGAGACTCGAACCGCCAACCTTCAGCACCATAAACCTTATACACCACACTCTTCCCACTACACCTCTATAGCACCACATGATTATATATGCAACATATATTATTTATATAGTACATACATCCATATTAATATAAAAGTATATGTATAAACATAATTATTTTATTGAACATAATTTATGTAAAATAAACTATTTACTACAATGATATGAAGATATGTCTACTTTTGGCGACTAAAAATATTTTTTGGTCGCCAATTCTATACTTTTGGCTACTAATTATTTTTTAGTTGCTAAAAAACTTAACTTTTGTCGACCAAAATCGGATTTGGTCACCGAAGATGCACTTTCAGCTATCAAAATTTTGGTCACCAAAAAATTTAATTCTCGCCTTAGGATTTTTAGTTCTCCCGCGCTAAAAATAACCACTTTTGGGGACTAAACTTATTTTTTAGTGGCCAATTATAGACTTTTGGCTACTAAATTTTTTAGTCACCAAAAAGCTTTTATTTTGGCTACTAAATTTTTTTTAGTCGGTAAAACCCATATAATCAGTGACCAAACTTATTTTTTAGTCGTCAATTGTAGACTTTGGCTACTAAATTTTTTTAGTTGCCAAAAAGCTTACTTTGGGCTACTAAAATTTTTTTTGTCACTAAAAACCATATAATCAGCTACCAAACTTAGTTTTGGTCGCCAATTGTAGACTTTTGGCTACTAAAATTGTTTAGTCGCCAAAAAAAGCTTTACTTTTGGCTATTAATGCTGTTTTGGTTACTGAAAGTTATAACTTTCAACGTCCAAATTTTTTTTGGTCAGGAAATTTAGTTGCCAAATATGTTTTTTTTCGTAGTGTATATTGAGTTTAATTTATTTATTTTTATTCATTTACTGTATTGTAAAAATTTTAAAAATATATTGACATTTTTTGTTTTTTTAAAAATGCCATTATAAGCTTGAAAAGTTTTTGACTTAAGTGGCATTTCTCAAAATGCTATAAAATATTTGTTTATGAACTTTTCACCTAAGTGCCAATAAAGTAATTTGCAACTACCTAAGTATCCTGATATTTTTTAAAAAATGCCATTGCTACAAAAGTTTAGTGGCATCTGTTGGTAAATGTCACGAATATTATTTTTGTGGCATTTTCTAAAAACATGCCACTAGTATAGTGTCATTTTTTTGTGGCATTTTCTAAAAAATATGCCACTAGTGTAGTGCCACTAAAGTATGTTTTTTGTTTGTAGTGACATTGGTCAATGAAAGGTTATAGAGTGTAAGTTGTATTCATTTATGTATTGATAATTTTTTTTTATTTTATTATCCAGATACATGTAATTCCTCTCGAAATTTTTACCTGAGGAGTTTGTTTAAATTTGATTAATTGTGTTGCTTAAATTAAAACAAGAAAAAGTTTGGAACTCTCAATTTGGGGATTCCTATAACTCTAAATGTGTGGTGATTGGTCATTTGCATTTTTTTTCCCCCCTCTATCTCACATAGAATGATGGGGGGTTGTGGGGATGGAGTTTTTGTGAGGGTCTCAATCATTGCTCTTAAAATAATAAGTTTGTAGATACAAAAGCGGCTATTTGGTATAGATTTTAAGAGGAATATAATTTTATTTTAATTTGAAGAGTCTGTGGTTAGATAGTTTTGGTGTAACTTTTGTTTATAATTACTACCATATCATCCGTGCTATACACGAATTGTGTTTACAATTATCTGTATATGTGAATTGTGATTTTTAATGTTTTTTTTTTAATTTTATTTTAAATGTCTTTTTTTTTTCCTTTTTTTTTTATATTATATTAAAGTTTAATTATTTTTGATAATAATCATATGTGTTGGACTTTTAAGATTTTTTTTTTTAACATTTGTTTTGATGGATTAAAGTGTTATTATGAGGAAAATAATCATATGTGTTTTGGACTTTTCAAGGAATTCAATATGTGTGGATTTCAAAGAATTTTTTTTATACTTGTTCTTAATGCATTAAAGTGTTATTATGATGAGATAGACTTAGAAGTTGGGAGAAGTTAACAAATACTAAAGATTTTTTTTTAAATCAAAAATACAAAAAATTTAGACTGGGAGATTGGAAACTCCCAGAATGCTTGGGTTAAAAGCCCCATTTTGCTTATATATAGTATAGATATAGATAGATATATAGATATATCTTTTTATTTTATTTTTGTGTGTGGTTTCTATCTTCGGATATTTTTTTTTTTTTCAATTTATTTAAGATGGAGTTGTGGGTATCTTTTTTTTTTTATTTAATTTATCAATGGTTTCCATTGTTTTTAATTATTATTATTTTAGGTAAATTATGATGTGGAGTTAGAATATGTGATAGATAATGTGAGTTTTATTTATTTAAAGTTTATTTAGATAAATTTAAAGATTTTTTTTTTTTAGTTTTTTTTGTTATGTTATAATTAATATAATAAAAATATAGGTAGATATCTACAAACTTTAATAAAATATTAATCTGATTTTTTTGGGGAGGAAGAAATAGAATACATGTTTTAAAATTATTTTTTTTTTGAAAATTTGTGAGAGAGATTAGGAGGGAGAGATTATGAAATATTTTTGTTATTAAATAAATAAATCAGTCAATAGTTTTTTTAATTTATTTTGTAAATTAAAAATCAATAATTTTGAAAAATTGATTAATTTGTTCCATTAAGTGATTTAAAATTTTTATAAATATATATATAAAAAAAAATACATAATTATATTATTAAATCATAATTCAAATTTAGATGTTATATCTTTTTGAGATCTATACCTAAATTCTTATCTTTTTTTTTTTAATTTTTGTGTGTAACCGTAGTGTATGGGAGAAATTGAAAAGGGTGTTGCAATAATTATGAGAGAAGTCAAAAGAGATTGTGGGTTAGGAGAAGTCAATAAATGCTGAAGTTGGGTTGGAAAAAGTCAATAAATGCTGAGGTTTTTTTTTTTTAAATAAAAAATTTAGAAAATTAGGATTAGGAGATTGGAGCTTCCATAAGCCTTGGGGTTAAAAACCCCTTTTGCTTAATATATAGTATAGATAGATTAGGCAAAAATAATTTAAATAAGTTGAAAAAAATTAATTATTTAAAAGTTAGAGAAGAAATATTTTAAATTTTTTACTTTCTAATTATTAGATTTTAACTTAAAATAATAATAATAATAATAATAAAACTCTACTAAACAAGGCTAAAATAGATCAAAGAACTACTCACAAAAAGTTGGTGTTTGGAAAGTTGGCTATTTTAATTTTTAACTGTTTTTGTAGGTTAAAAATTATGTATTTGAAACGATGATTGAATTTTTTTATAGTTGAATATGATATTTGTAAGAAAAAAAAAATAATTATGAATTTAATGTGACAATTTATTTTATTAGTTATTTTAACTTCTTCTTTTTTTGATTTTATAAATTTTAACTCAAAAAATAAAAAAATAACCTTGGCCAAACAAGGCCGTTGAGTGGAGCGATTTGAATTGAACAATATCATCTATGATGGGCTCTACCATCTCATAACTATAGTCAGGATTGTTTTACATAAATGTGTTTATGTTTAATTTATTTACGTTTCGAGTCAATATTAAATTAACTTTAATCAAGTTTTAGAGTGTAAATAATCGAATTGAATTAACTAATAGATTGTTTAAGTTTAAATTAAAAACTTAATAAATTTTAAAATG